AGTTTGAAGTAGAGGCCGACTATGACAATCGGTCACTCTTCTTCTGCTCTAGCAGTAGCCGAGCGTCTGTGTATGATTTCCTCGACCCGTCCGCCTGAATATGACGAACAGGTTTCCTATTTCCTTTAGTAGGAAAACGATATTTTGTGAAATCAAGGGCAGTCGGCTCCCGCTTCCTAGATTTAGGATGAGGAGTCGCCTCTCGCCCTTGAACTGGCTTCCTCTTCAGTGAAGTGGAGGGTTTCTTAGCCGACTGCTCCTTGTCCAGAGCAGGCGGCTTCTTGTTGATCAACTCTTGAATTTCTCCCTTGAAGTCCCTCATGAAGGTCATGAGTTCGTTCCTTGTGATGGGAGCAGACCCATCAGTCGGCTGCTGCCGAACAAGCGGTGCGCCTGCTGGCTCGCTTCCTGTATGAAGATGTTCCCGTTCCCTCCTTTCGGTATGACGGGTACATCGGGCCCTTAGGGTCCCGTCTGAAGCTGTGTGAGCTTCAACTTCAAATTCATCCTCAGTATCGTGGTCCGACTGAACTTGAGGGTCGTCTAGGGGACGCCTCTCTTCAGGAGTCGGTACAGACTTGGATGCCATCTCAGAAGTACTCTCCCCACAGACGGCGCCAAATGTTTCGGGGTTTTCTGATGTCCTACAGGAGAGTTACAATTCCGAGACTGGAACCGGACGCCTGTACCTGCAAAATAACGGAGACTCCTGGTGGTGGGAGCTCCGCCTCCAACGGTCAAGTTAGTACTTGATTAAGGAGTAATTAATGCGGAAATTAAAGTGATTGGGTCTCTCTAGGTGAGAGTGTTTAATGTAGGTAATCTGCTTTATTAGCGTGATCAGCCTGTTATCTCTGTAATCCCCCTTAATGAGGATTAAGGGAGGTATTTATAACCTTGGGAAACGTGCCAATCCTAGGTTTAGGTTAACCTAGGGCTGATTGGGCTTCCCTCGGAAGTTGGGCCTGGGTGGTCGGTTTCTCCATTAGGCATGGAGTATGCCACGTATCATGACATAATAGGTCCAAGGCGGACGAATAAGCGTGTGCCACGTGGCAAGCCCTGACAGTTCCAACTGGGGGACACTTGGCAGGACCTGATTGGCCCACGTGGCGCATTCCGATTGGTGGGAGCAAAATCCCCTAATCATTTTCCCGTCACAGGTGGCACGTGACTGGTCACGTGTTACCTGTGACAGGTGCCGCACTGTAACAGGCGACGGCCTGCTACAGGTGTGTCACTCGGCGAAAGGCCGAGAGATTCTCCCGCCCAAATTTTGAATTCTGGAAGTGACCCTTCGCCTTCTCACTTCGCCTATATAAAGGAGTGTTGACTTTAGTCATTTTCACACTTGAGAACTTTTTGAGAGAACATTCGGACCCCTGAACTTGCTCTGACATTTTGGACCCTTTCTGCCTACCGCCTGCTCTGACAAGCCGACTGCACAGGATTTTCAGAACTTCATCAATCGTCACTCGTTCAGGTAACCGTCGGTTCTCTTACTCTTAATTTTCTCTTTACTTTATTCTTTTTTAAAATGGCACCACGGAAGCACACGACACGACCTAGGTTAGTGATCAGCCGGTCACCGGGGACGGCTGAATCTAGGACTAGGAGTGCCGCCTGCCCTTTTCTGGACCCATCTTTGCCCTTTATACAAAGTCCGACTGTATCTGTGTCTATGTAGAGTATGATGGCCAGAACAAAAAAGACTGCCAGGATCTCAAATTCAGACGGCTCCTCCCACAGGGTGCCGATTAGTGAAACATCTGACCAGGCGCCAGATGTGGAAGTGAAACAAAGCGGCTTGAAAGCCGGCAGTTCTGAGGGAGGAGTCAAAGTGACCCCTTCCCATTTTACAGTTGAAAATTCTTCATTCGCTCCGGCTCCTTTTAAAGGAGAGGAGGCGGGCCCCTCCGGGAGAGGGGAGGAGTCGTCCTCTTCGGACTCATAAGAGGACGATTCCGAGTCTAGCTCTTCTGGACATGCTTCTTTGGACACAGAAGAGAAAAACAGTCGCCTGCAAGAGGCGAGGCTTTCTCACGCAGTTGAGAAGGGGGACGATTGGGCGGAGCCATCCGCCTCTTACCGAGAGCAAAATACCCCCTACTACTGCACGGTACCTCGGGGCCGGATCACGGCCATGCAAGAGAAAGTGGAGAGCTTTATCGCAAACCACACAATGGGCCCCAGAGTAGGAATTTGGTGGTTTGCGATAAAGCTCTCCACTTTCTCTTGCATGGCCGTGATCCGGCCCCGAGGTACCGTGCAGTAGTAGGGGGTATTTTGCTCTCGGTAAGAGGCAGATGGCTCCGCCCAATCGTCCCCCTTCTCAACTGCGTGAGAAAGCCTCGCCTCTTGCAGGCGACTGTTTTTCTCTTCTGTGTCCAAAGAAGCATGGCCAGAAGAGCTAGACTCGGAATCGTCCTCAAACGAGTCCGAAGAGGACGACTCCTCCCCTCTCCCGGAGGGGCCCGCCTCCTCTCCTATAAAAGGAGCCGGAGAGAATGAAGAATTGTCAACTGTAAAATGGGAAGGGGTCACTTTGACTCCTCCCTCAGAACTGCCGGCTTTCAAGCCGCTTTGTTTCACTTCCACATCTGGCGCCTGGTCAGATGTTTCACTAATCGGCACCCTGTGGGAGGAGCCGTCTGAATTTGAGATCCTGGCAGTCTTTTTTGTTCTGGCCATCATACTCTGCATAGACACAGATACAGTCGCACTTTGTATAAAGGGCAAAGATGGGTCCAGAAAAGGGCAGGCGGCACTCCTAGTCCTAGATTCAGCCGTCCCCGGTGACCGGCTGATCACTAACCTAGGTCGTGTCGTGTGCTTCCGTGGTGCCATTTTAAAAAAGAATAAAGTAAAGAGAAAATTAAGAGTAAGAGAACCGACGGTTACCTGAACGAGTGAGGATTGATGAAGTTCTGAAAATCCTGTGCAGTCGGCTTGTCAGAGCAGGCGGTAGGCAGAAAGGGTCCAAAATGTCAGAGCAAGTTCAGGGGTCCGAATGTTCTCTCAAAAAGTTCTCAAGTGTGAAAATGACTGAAGTCAACACTCCTTTATATAGGCGAAGTGAGAAGGCGAAGGGTCACTTCCAGAATTCAAAATTTGGGCGGGAGAATCTCTCGGCCTTTTGCCGAGTGACACCTGTAGCAGGTCGTCGCCTATTACAGTGCGGCACCTGTCACAGGTAACACGTGACCAGTCACGTGCCACCTGTGAGGGGCAAATGATTAGGGGATTTTTCTCCCACCAATCGGAATGCGCCACGTGGGCCAATCAGGTCCTGCCAAGTGTCCCCCAGTTGGAACTGTCAGGGCTTGCCACGTGGCACACGCTTATTCGTCCGCCTTGGACCTATTATGTCATGATACGTGGCATACTCCATGCCTAATGGAGAAACCGACCACCCAGGCCCAACTTCCGAGGGAAGCCCAATCAGCCCTAGGTTAACCTAAACCTAGGATTGGCACGTTTCCCAAGGTTATAAATACCTCCCTTAATCCTCATTAAGGGGGATTACAGAGATAACAGGCTGATCACGCTAACAAAGCAGATTACCTACATTAAACACTCTCACCTAGAGAGACCCAATCACTTTAATTTCCGCATTAATTACTCCTTAATCAAGTACTAACTTGACCGTTGGAGGCGGAGCTCCCACCACCAGGAGTCTCCGTTGTTTTGCACGTACAGGCGTCCGGTTCCAGTCTCGGAATTGTAACTCTCCCGCAGGACATCAGAAAACCCCGAAACATTTGGCACCGGTTAACCGGTGCCAAATGCTTTAGTTGGCACCGGTTTTGAACCGGTGCCAAATTTTTGGGGATTTGGCATCCCTCAAATCCCCAACGGTTCAAAACCGGTGCCTTAGGGGGGTTTGAACCGGTGCCAAATTACCTTTTTCGTCTAGTGAATTTTCAGGTTCGAATTTTACTCATAAATTATGGATCTAAACATTTAATCTTCCTGATTAATAATTGTTCAACATTGTTTTTCGACAATTTATATGTTTAGTCTGTTAATTTTTACATTTTAATATTATACTTAGCATTTTGATTTTAAATAATTTTAGGGCTTAAAACGTTTCGGGCAAATTTTTAGATTTAGATGTTCTTGATAATTTTTAGGGGTTTAATCTGTTAATATGTTTTGGTGTTAAAGGGGTCAAACTATCATGGCTGAGGATGAATTTGATTACGCAGCTGAAAGAGGTATAGTTCATTCTAATTCATTATAAATTATGCATTTTTATTGATCTTACTCCTAATCTTTCCCTGATTGTTTGGTGTAGTGGGTGACTTTGAAGTTGAGCAAGCACCAATTACATGCATGAGTGTTGGAAATGCTACACCAACACCTGAACCCCATCAATCAATATCTCCAATTCAAGGAAAGCGATCTCCTATTTGGCAGAATTTTGAGATTAATGGTGAACATGCTGCATGCAAGTTTTGCAAAAGATTAATCCAGAAACATAGTGGTACGACTGGTACGTCTAATCTAAAGAGACACCTTGATAGGTGCCAACAATATAAAGATTCAGATAAGTCTAATGAGTTTAATCCATCTAAATTTGACCAAAAAGAATATTGTAAGTTATTTGCTAAAGCTATATTAAAGCATGGTTATTCTTTAAGTATTGTTGAACATGAGGGGTTTAGGGAATTGCATACATATTTGAATTCCAAGGTTAGAACTATTTCTAGAAACACGATATTGAAATGGTGCATGATAGAGCATGATGTGTTAAAGCAACATGTTCGTAATACGTTTAAGGCCTTATCAAGTAAAGTGACCTTGACTTGTGATGTATGGACAGCTTGTACTACTCGTGGTTATTTGTCTTTTACGGCCCATTTTGTGGATAATGACTGGAAATTACGGTCTAAGGTGCTGAACTTTAGGCATTTTCCATCTCCCCATAATGGTTATGAAATTTATAATCTGGTTTTTAGTTTGATCAAAGATTGGGGTATTGAAAGAAAATTTGTAGTATGACTATTGACAATGCATGTAATATGGATTCTATGGTTGGGAAACTCCAAATTGAATTGGATGCAATGGCTAAATTACCTCTTGACGGCAAATATTTTCATGTTAGATGCTTTGCCCATATCTTAAACTTAATTGTCAAAGAAGGTTTGAAAGTCATTGATGAATCTGTTGCGAAAGTTCGGGAGAATGTGAAGTATGTTGATTCTTCTGAAGCTAGACTTATAAGGTTTGAGCGGTGTGTTTCTAGTTGTAATTTAGCTACAGGTGTAAAGCTATGGATGGATGTTCCTACTAGATGGAATTCTACTTTCTTAATGCTTCGTCGAGCTCTTGATCTTTTACCGGCGCTGAAAATGTTCGGTAGGATAGAGAGCAATTATCAATTGGCACTTACTGCTCATGAATGGGAAATAGTAGAAAAAATGTGTGTTTTTCTTGAACCCTTTTATGACATTACTAATTTGTTTTCCGATTCTGAATATCCCACCTCCAATCTTTATTTTGCCAACATTTGTAGAATTGATTCACTATTAGTGGCTGCTTCTAAAGAGGAAGATCCAAATTCAAAGAAATGGCAGATCTTATGCGTTGCAAGTTTGATAAATATTGGTCTGATTACTTTGTGCTATTATCTTTTGCTGCAATTCTTGATCCTCGAATTAAGTTTAAATTTTTGAGAAATCTTTTCAAGGATTTGTATGAAGCTCACATGGTTGAAACAAAAGTCCAGGAGGTGTATTATGAATTTGTTCAACTGTTTAACCATTACAAGGATCCTCTTCCTACTTATTCTTCCCAAGGTAGTTCAAATTCAGATGCATATCGTCCACGCAAGACTAGTAGAGTTTATGTTGTAAGATAACGACAAATATTATCATTATTCAATATGTTAATCACTTTTCTGGGTTATTTAGTTTTGATCTTTTTTATTTGTGATTTTAGAATTTTGTTGTTGATGTTGCTAGTGATGACATGGGTAAATCTGAATTAGAATTATACTTAGAATTGCCTTTTAAACCTTGTAATGTTGATGAGGAATTTGATATTTTGGGCTATTGAAGGAGCAATCAACAACTTTCCCAAGTCTTGGTCGTATAGCTAAAGATAATCTTGCGATACCTAATACTACTGTTGCTTTCGAATCTTCTTTTAGCATGGGTGGCAGAATTTTAAACAGGTGGAGCAGTTCACTCTTGCACAAACATGTCGAAGCTTTGATAACAACTCGAAATTGGCTGTATGGTTATGTTGAGTTGGAGAAAGATGGGGTTGAGGTAGAGAAGGAGAAGGACGTGGATGATACTTCTGCATAGCCAGATTTGTAAGTTGTATTTGATTTTTTTAAAATGAATGTAATGTTTTTTTAATCACTATAACACTATTATGTCTCTTAATCTCTTATTTGTTTGCTTATCTTTTTGCAGGTGGATGTCACTCGCCCTCATTTGCTCACTGGTTTAAAACCTCAAATTAATCAAGCCTGCTACCTGCTTGAGCCTTACTGTCGTTTTCAGCATTTTAGTTTAAACTCTTTACTTAGTTTATATACTTGTTCAATTGTAACCACCTTGTTTTGGTGATGATGAATTGCTATCATTTGGTGATCTAAAATAATTGGAATTGCTATCATTTGAGCTTTTTTTGCTTCACTTACTCTTTCTACAATAAAGTTTCAGATTGAGATTATTTGAATTCATTCAATTACTAGAAGCTGATGATGATTTCAGAAAATAACTGTCTTTCTTTGTTAGTTCTTTGTTGTGTTATGTGCTTCAGCTTACACATGCTTACGCTTTAGGCTGTCATCGTGGAAGTTTTTTTTTTAGAAAAAACTCTCGAAAGTTTTCCTTTTAGTTTATTGTAATAAGTTTGTGTTAAACACATTTTGGGTGGATGATTTGCAAATAGGTTTGATTGATATGGACATTATGACAAAAAACTAGTTCAGTCAAATGTTTGGTTATGGTTAATGATATGGGTCCTCCTATTTGTAAGTGCTATCAATGATGGTTTAGATGTTGCTCTTGAAATTGATGGACCTACTCATTTCTCCAGAAATTCAAGTTAATATTCTCATCATCCATACAAATTCCCAAACGCCTTAGCTTTTTTCTAAGGAATTTGTTTTTATCTATATATTTTAGTCTGTATGATTCTTAACATACTTGAGTTTGCAGGAGTCCCTCTTGGAAATACTGTGTTGAAAAGGCGATATGTTGCTGCTTTTGGCTGGAATCCTTTGTCAGTTTCTCACCAAGAAGTGAGTCTTTTGAAATATTTGCTATGAAAGGTTTTATTTGGTTGGACCTAGTAATTCTTCCTTTCTGTGATCTCAGTGTTTGAATTGTGCTGCAGTAATTGAGCATATTGTGTTTTGCAAATAACAGAATTACAATTCAAATCACGGAATTTCCAATATTTTGCGCTCGCCCCTTGTGTTTTTACAAGGATAGCTTTGTAGTTGGACTTATAAGTTCCCAATTACACCTGGTTACATAATTGAAAGTTGGTGTGAAAAACTAAAAATACATTCGGTTTGTCAGAATTTTAGACTTACAATATTATGGAATAAGTGCCTCGCTGTTTTATGACATGAATAGTATTTCTTTTAAGAAATGGTTGGCAATCAAACTGAATGTGGCTATCCTGTGTGATTTCTTAGAGAACAAATTTTTACTAATTGATCATCCACTTCTTTTCCAAAATCATCTTCAATCCAAGTTTGCTGATTGTTTGACAAATGAGATAACCTGGCTCTTCTAATATGCTAGATCATGAAGGAGGCCATTTAGTACATAATTATTGGCATCATTTGTTTTATACCAAACCTAGTGTAATATGTAAAAAAAAATACTTGCTCGGAAATAAGTTTCACTGAAAGGATGTATTCCTCTTTATGACTGGTAATTTTATTATGAATTATGAATGTTAAGCACTTAAAGCTCAAAGGCTGCTGGGTATTGAGGATCATACATCGGTATATAGTTAATGATCCTGATTCCATCACACTGTCTGTTTACTTGTAAACAGACAATTTGACAGAATTCAACATTTAGAGCTGTCTAATCTCTGGAGTGCTTTTAAGTATTTCTGCTAGAACATTTAATCCTCTTAATACTTGTCATTTCATGTTATTTTTCCTTGATGTGCAATTATGTAATGGAGATACCATTGCTGGACGTAATTGCTCTAGTCCCGCTTTCATCTGCTCCCTTCGATTCTATAATTTTCCTGTCTCTTCAGTGTAAGGCATAAAACTGAGTCTAGTTGTACAGCTAGTGGAAATCTCTTATTGACAGATGGCTGAACCACTGTCCTTTTGCACCAAGAATGTTTCATCTCAATTAGATTCTTCCTGTAGATTCTCATATAAACTTAGCATTCAACACACGACAAAATGTACATAGCCAAATTTTTGTTTTGGTCATTGAACTGAAACCATGTTATTCTTTAATTACTTGTACAAAACAGATTTTGTCGTTCATTATGTGCTTGATTTTTCTGTTTGTGAATTAATTCTTGTTTCACTGCAGTGGGAAGAACTCGCAGGTAGCGTCGAGCAAGAAGAATACTTGAGACAAATTTTAAAGGATTATGTTGGTTGAGATTGTACCTGATCCTGGGGTCAGACCAGCAATTGTCAAGTACCAAGCACTCTGAGTCTCAGATAACATTAAATGGATGCTAGAATTTCATTGTTTGAAAAATATAAAATTTTAATCAACTTTTTGTGTATATTAATGCTCATTATCTTTGTAATTATAGATTAATACTTATAATTGATATAGATCTTCTCAATCTATACATTAAAAACCTTCAAGAGAGATGGAAAGTAGAAGTTCATTGACATTGTCATAGGCATGAGTCTAAAAAAAGTCTTTATTATTGTGCATTTTTTTCACTTAAGCTTATTTAAAAGAGCTCTTGTATTTTTACCTAATGTTTACATTTGATTGAACATTATCAACTCTAATAAATCTAATTAAACCTTATTTAAGGTGACATTAATGCACCCTTAGTGGCAGTGGTAGTGGCGGTGACACATACCCATCTAAAAAATTACAAGTAATATATCTTTTATTTCATGAGTAACAATCATCACTTAATATCAATTTTTTCTTATGCAAATGAGGGAGATAATTTTGCTAACTTCATAAGGCTAAAACTACTCTATGTTAATTTAACATAGAGTAGTTTTAGCGTTACGAAGTTTCGACATAACGAGTAGCTTAGAATATATATAGCATATATCTATATTCAGTATCTGATCTACAATAATAAAGATGTATTAAATAACAAGTCGAGTTGATTTCAGGTCAGGTCAATAACAAATCGGATTAAATATGGGTCGGGACAATAACAAGTCGGGTTGATTTCGGGTCGGGTTAGTGACAGATCGGGTTGAAGTTCGGGTCGGGTTAGTAATAGGTCGAGTTAAATTCGGGTCGGGTTAGGAATAGGTCGGGTTGAATTCAGGTCGGGTAAGTAACAGGTCAGGCTAAATTCGGGTTTTAACAGGTTAAAGCGGGTTTGGTTCAATTTCGGTTCAGGTCGTGTTCGGTTCAAGTCAATATTTTTACGGGTTATATTCGGGTCGGGTCATCTCCAGGTCGGTTCATGTACGGGTTCGGGTCTCGAATACTCGGGTTAACTCGAGTCTAGGGTTGGTTTCAGGTCGGGTCGTATCGGGTTCGGGTCATCATTTTTCCGAGTTTAGACGGGTCAGTTAATAATCGGGTTCGGGTCGGTATTTCGGGTCGGGTCAACTTTTGACAGCTCTACACGTGATTGGCCTAAAATAAAAAAAAATTAAAAAAAAAAAAAAAAAAAAACCTAAAAACCCTAACTGCCACCACCTTCCCCCACCATGACACCCAAAGCTCAAACCCTAGCCTATCGGAAACAGCCGACCGACCACTCCCAAACCCCCAAAACCACCTTAGACGGCCCACCCGCACCCCCCAAACCACCCTCCTCCCTTTCCCCGCCCTCGAATTCAACTCCCCTTGTTTCCCTTACCGTCGAAACAGCCCTTCCTCCCTTCCCCAACCCCCGAAAACGGCCCCTTGGGCAGTTTCGTGGATGGGGGAAGGGAGGGAGAGCGACATTTAAGTTTTTTTTACAGGGGGTTGGGTTAAACCGGTTGGGTTGTTTTGGGGGTAGGGAGGGTCGGCCGACCATTTACAGGGGGTTAGGAGAGTCGCCGGCCAGTTCCCGATGGCCTGGGGTTAGGCCCCTAGGGTTTCACGGTGGGGGGAAGAGGGAGGGGGGTGGCTGGGAATGGGTTTTGAGTTTTTTTTTAAAAAAATAGTTTTTAAAAAAAGAATTTAGAGCAATTACATGCTAACACGTTGATTTTTTTTTTATTATTTAAAAAAAAATTACCCTTTTAACAAGTCACTGGTCATTGCGACTATTGGAGGTAAACTAACCTCATAATTGAGATTATTAGATAATAAACCTTAGTTGGGATTATTAAAAGTAAATCACTTATAGTTGGGATTATTAAAGTGTATTTTTCCTATTTATTTTTAGATCGTTATTGAATAACTATGGTCAAAGTTAATAAAAGAATAGACGAATATGAAGGTTTTATGTCTTCGTCAAGTTCAATAACTAGATATATATAATGGATCAAATTATGGAGATAATTAAGTTCGTTCTTTTGGTTCGTCGTTATATCATAGCTAAAGGTACTAACGATCTTTGGGCTAGTAAATTAGGGCAAAGCCCAATTGAAAGGATCCTATAAGGTCACACAAAGGGCCTAAATTGAGCATAAGAGGAAGAGGCCCATGTTGGGCCTCATCCCTTAGGTGGCTGGCCATGTAGAGTAGGTTAGAGGGTTTTGGGCTTTGCTCCTAGTCTAATTATAATATGATTATAAATAGACTAGGTTCCTAGGGTTTCAGATTCATAGTTTTACTGTTAATCAAACCCGAGTTAGCAAACACAAAACCCAACCCCACAAACTCTCTCTCACGGCCTTGTCCCCTCCTTGCGCCGGTGTGTGTGTTCGGTGGTGGTGGTTGTTCGTGGTGGTGCCAGTTGTCCATAAA